GATAGATAGATAGATAGATAGATAGATAGATAGATAGATAGATAGATAGATAGATAGATAGATAGATAGATAGTACCATGGAGAGCTCCCTGGTAATACTCAATGAAGAAAGGCTGCCATCTTGTGGCCAAGGATAGATTGCAGAAGGATCTTTTCAGAAAAGAGGGAATTAGAGCTGCTGGGATTTGACTCTGGAATGCACAAGTGTATTTGTGCTGCGCATGAACTGTCTGTACAAGTGTTCAAAAGTTTATACTTTGGGTAAAAGCTGCCATCATAAGATTATCTCTCCAAAGATGAGGATATTTACATAAAAGCTGCAGGGTGGTATTACTGGATCAATAGACCTAACTATACACTTTATTCTTTTTTAGGGGAAAAGGAAAAACTGCTAAAGAAAGTTTGAAATCAATAAACTCATAACCATTTGTTTACAGACAGCCTGAAAATAAATTAAATCTGTCAAGGTTTTTATTTTTCTTTTAATCTGTTTGTTTTATTTTGAAGAGGTAAACAGTAATAAAGATGTGGTGTACCCTGTCTGTTAGAGAACCAAAAAATGAAACTTTTAAAACTATTGTTTCTCCTAATATTAGCAGAAAATGTGAAAAAAAAAGCTGGAAAAATAATATTCTGCCTTTTGAAAAACTCATTATGCGAAGAATAAAACAAAATCTCTCAAAGTGTAATTTTTTTATTCTAAAAGGAAAATACAGCTTTGAAAATGTATTGGGAATATTTTATATGAGGTGTGTTTCTTTTTCAGTCTGAGTTTAGTTCAGTCCAAAGCTAAATGCTCTTTAGATGTTAAATCGAGTACCTTTACCTTAACTCGGGCAGAAATAAATAATGACCAGAAACATAGGCTCATTAGAACAAAGTTACAACTTCTAATTTTAACAAAAAAAATGTAAAGAGATAACTAAAGTTTTTAGATCTATTATTATTCCCAGTGGTGTGTATGTTTCAGTTTCACCACAAACCGCTGTTTTCTTTTTCTATCCTGCTTTAAAACAGGCACTTTTCTGTTTGCAGCAACCCCAAAATTTATACACCTTTGGAGATGAAATCACAAAGGACTGGAAGTAAAGGTATTTCAATTTTTCAAAGTGTGACTTTATTTGTCCCTGAGCAACAGTTGGCTTTAAAGTCTACCCAAACATCTTTTTAGCACTTCAGATTGAAAAAAGATTAACACAATCACTGAGGATGAGTCAGTTTGTCACCAAATCTTTTACTTTTCGGTGGAGTGTCTCTTTTGCTCATGACCTAAATTTATTGTCTTGAAACTTCTTGTGTATGCCTGGATGAGAACAACTACAGATTAAAAAGGCACCTTTTTTTACTATAAATATATTGTGTCCAATTACAAAAACGATAAGTGAATGTTGATTTTTTTTCTTTTTCACATTAGAGCACATTCTAAAATAAGTCTGTTTTTTAAAGTTTTCATTTAAAAGATTGTGAAACAGGTACATAACACTGTTACAAATCCTTGTTTTGTTAAAAAACAATTTTAACTCAAATACCTATAAAATTTTAGCAAATCTAAACTTTATGTACTGCAGATACAGCAATGTTTGAATAAACAAAAAAGTTTTTAGCACTATTGTGAAAAAAGTATTTGACTGCAACACAGTGTGCTGCACTTACATTGATGAAAGAGAAAATACGACATTTACAGGTCCTGTGGGATTTTAGTTCGAAAATGAAGTTTTTTTTTTGATCGGTTACTGCTTATTTAGGCTCAGATCTGTAAGTAAAGACAATGGGTTTTTTGATTGATGTGGTTCCATTAAAAAGATTTTCAAAAATACTCACAGAAAAAGCAGATTTTCATGTTGATTTGGAGCTGCAGAYAAAGTACTAGAGGCAATAGCAGGCATTATCTCAGCAACAAATCCACCTGGGATGTCTGAGACGGTCTAAATGTTTCTCATTCCATCTATTAAAAGTAGACTTTATGATGAATAAAAATATAGAATTTTAATAGGTTTAGACTGCTGCAGGACATTCTGACCACGATTCCTCACTCTGTTGTCTTTATCCTCTATACTCTATGTTTGTATTTGCAATTATTACTGCCATTAATCTGGTGTTTTCTGCTTTTCATCCCACATAAACCATAACTGGTCCAATATTTCTGTTTRTTCRTGGCGTTTTCCTGCCTTCTCAACCCGCAGCCATTTGAAGCTGATGGACATACAGTATAGGAACTGACATATGGAGCTAGGTTTGTTTTGAACTGAACAGAATTTATGATTTGAACTTGTTACTTCTTTGTTTAGCACCCTGAGATGACTCTGTTGTAAAGTGGYACAATATAATTCATCAGATTAAGTTAGTTTTGCATTTCGATACAAAATAAAAGACATTTGAACTTTTCTTCAAAAWAGAGAAATGAAATCACTGACATGATCAGCAAAGAGTTTGGACATCAATTTCATTATTTATAGCAGATCTATACATTTTCATTTCATGTTTTACAAAACCAGGCAAATATACATTTTTGAGTCATATTAATAAATGTTATTTTATAAGATAGAAGATAGAGTGAACATCAATAAAACATCGAGATGTCATATTTTCTTCCATTTTGTCCAACTTAGCATGGGGAAAACTCTCTAAAAACATCAAGAAAAAATACCAGCATTGATAGTCTCAGCATTTTTCTGCAAGAAACAAACACTTAATTTGCACATCTTTTAAACTAGCAATACATGTTTCTTTAGAAGCTGCAAAGTGAACTTTATTTCTTAGCCGCACACAGTGGTTCGCTCTTTAGCATGCAAGAACATTACGTTTTGTTTTACCACTGACTAGCTAAGTTTAGTGAATGACTACTTAACAGCAGACTGATATCGAGGCTTAAATATCAGTTTAATTCACAGTTATTGTAAAATAAAGAGATAAGCAATGAAGAGAAATAAGACATCAATGGTAAATGCGGTAATGGCATTCCTGATTAACCCAGAGACATTCCATTTACAGCATTACGACAGAAGGAAATAAACCTGCTAAAATACACAATGCAACTGTTGGAGGCAGTAATGCTTTAGCTTGACCTTAAACATGTGACTTCAACTTTAATAACACATGATTATGGTTGTCAGGACATATTTATTGATTCTGTCTCTGGGAAACCTTGAAG